TAATACATTAATTTGTTAATGAAAATAATATGGTTCCTATTATTTATATTAAAACATTGGTAATGAGCTACATATTTTCTAATTTCTCTTTGAAAATTAATTAGATACAAGAATATTTAATATGAGGAAAAATTAGTTTCTAAATATTTTTAAATAAGTATTTGGAAATGTATGTTCGTAGCTTTTTTTTCAAAAATGTGTCCGTTTTATATGAGTACATTACTATCTGATATTTAATATGTACAACACGTTTCCATAAGAGAAATATATAACTGAAGATGAAAAAAATATGAGAAAACAAATTCCAAATGCATGCGCAAAATTGTGTCGATATTTTGTTTCAAGAGTAATCACAGTTGGTACAAAAATGTCAGAATGTGGGGAAAAAATATTTAAAAAAAAAACTTAAAGAATCTTTCAACTTAAAAAATATGCAGGCAAATAAAATTTTACAGCTATTGGTAAATCTGTTACCGGTAAAGTATGAAATGTCGGCATTCTATAGAATGCCTAGGCATTGTAAAGAATGCCTGACGTTTTTAGGTAAAGTATGAAATATGAGAATTATTACATGCTTTGCCTAGGCATTGTATAGAAAGCCTATCAAAGTATGGAAAAAGATCAAGAAAGGCTATTATAGCAATGACGCACATTGCTAAAAAAATACAAATGTTATTCTGAAGAAATAATGCGAGTGGCATTAAAAAAATTATTCAAAATACATAAAAGAAACAAAGTGTATGTCTTTCTTATTAATGGAAATAAAAATTCAGGGCTGGTTACGCCAATATACACACAGGAAAAAAACTAATTTTTTGTTGCACATATTTATGTAAAGAGCATTTTAATACTCCCGAACAAATCACAAAGTGCAACGGAGAAATTCAGAGTCTGAAATACGGGTTAAAAATCTCGTGCCTAGCCACGTAATATTTGAGACGAATCGGGGATGTATTTCATACTTTGCCGGCTTCTCATTAGGCATTCCACAGAATGCCTAGGCAATGTGTGACATATGAATTATTTCATACATTGCCGGCTAGTTTTAGGTATTCTATACAATGCCGGATTTCATACTTTGCCGGTAACATATCAATAATTATACAACTTTTAAAATGACATAACATTTATACTTATAAAAATCAACTCCGTTCAATTGTTATATGAAATATATAAGTGTCTTTAAGCTCAAAGAATACTTTTATAAAAAAGAGGGGGGGATTAATTTAATTTTTATTGGATATAGCTTAGAATTTTTTCATTCGTTTTTGAAGTCCAAAATAGTTCATGAAGTATAAAAACCCAATGATAAAGGAATTTATTTATTTAAATATAAATAAATAAATGTGAATCAATAATAATTAGAATATGATATAAAAATAATTGCTCAAAGCATCATTAATCACTATATTTGATAAAGATTGCATTCTTCATAATTCCTAAGATTAATCATTACTTTTTCTTTGTCAAATTCTGATATATAATGCTATACTAGCTCCTGGAGAATGTACTAGGTCTGCAAAAATTAAATACCAATACGCAGCTCTATTAGAAAAAAAGTTTATTCGCAATAAACTCACGCAATAATGCTCTCCTTCTTTTCTCTTAATATATGCTACAATGTTTTTTTTTTAATTTCAAAAATAATTTTTTTTTCAAATCCCATTTTGTTTATTTTTTTCAACTGAACTAAATCATAATTAAGAAACTCTAAGAAGACAAAGAAAGGTTTTCCCAATAATGAACCGTTAATTTTCTTCGAACCTTAACTTGCTTCTGTTTTTCAAAGCATAATAGTATCTGATCGACAGTTTTTCAACATCCCACTTAGAGGCAACTGAGAGAGAAGGGCTACTGTTGCCCTATCATGTAATCTTCCTCCACTGTCAAGAGACGAGGACGGCAACTGATTGGCACCCCATTCAACAAATCTCTATACCATAGGTTCCCAACCTTTTATGAACTGGCGCCCCTTTTCTAGTAAATATTTCGATACCACCCCTTCCCACTCTAAAGAAATAAGAGTGGACATAATACATGATGAAAACAAGAGTTAAATTTTAAAAAAAATATTCTATTACTAATAGAATATATTTTTTAATTTAACTTTTTTTCCAAAGCCTCAATTTTTATACCTGCGAATCTGAAATAGCTATTGCCACAAATATATTTAAATATGTAATATTATATATTTTAGTCATAGGTAGGATATTGTTGGAATTGAAACGCTACTGAATTTCTTCATTTAAAAGAGTGGATAAAAGTTTTAGCTAACCTGTTATAAAGACAGGCAGGGGTTTTGATGATACGAAGGAATACATAATAAAAAATTGTTGCTTTCAAAATAAATATAAATTGACAATTTCGGCCTTTAAAGAATCACACGTTAATTCCTGGTTAGCATATTTAATTATGTTTCTTGGATAATAAACGTAATGAAATGCAGTGGACAAAACCTTTTTGCTACTGGCTCATTAAGACAACACGTGTACTACAGAAATTAAAATGTACTAAAAAATTCAATTTAATATGTCTACAGAAACATGTGCTATAGAAATGATTTAAATACATACAATCAACATAAGGTAAACAGTATTAAAGTTTCCTTTTGTTAGTACATAATCAGCGTGTTTTTTAGTCTTTTTAGACTATATTTGATTAATCTGCCCTGCCATCTCAACGCCCCCTAACTTTCTTTGGGTCTTTTACTTCCCCCCTGAAAATCTCAAGCGCCCACAAGAGGGCGTTATCGCCCACGTTGTGAACCAATGCTCCATACCAACATGAGGAGGCTTTGTCGGATCTTAATGCCACTAAAGATCCGCCTTGTAAAGGGGCTACTGCACGTTTAATATAAGTCGTAGGAAAGTTCTGTTGGTGTGGTGTGGAAGTTAGGAAAGTGGAATGTCAGCTCTGGTGTCGTTCTCGTCACTTTACCACAGTTCAGAATTCCGAAAGTCGTTAATTGCCCTCATGTTGCTTTAACCCCCCATGTGCCCCCAAACACATTTTTCACTTTTCCTATCTCATTAAAATATGAATTTCTACGCTTCTAATGGTGCACAAATTATTATTCTATGTGCAGTAGAAGTATTTTTAATAATTTTTTGAACATGTTTTTTTACCACCTGTCAAAGTCTACTATAAATCCATTACTAAAATCCATTTTTCTGAAAACTAACATTTTTACCATATAAGGTACATTGTTCCTAAGCTACTGCATTTAACAGCTTATAACTTTGCATAATTAATAATTACACTCTAATACATACTTTAATCGAGGGGTTTTCCAGAAAAATATTCTGACTTAATTTATAGCATTAAACATCATGAAATTTCACTGTTTTTGAAAAAAAAAAACCAGATTTGTGCAAAAAAAAATATTTTTAAAAAAAATAACTAGATATTTTATCCATAAAATCTCTGATTAAAGTTTGTATTATGGTTCAAAGAATATTCAGTAAAAAAATTGGAGATTTTTATTCGATAGAATGTTTATAAATATTCCTTTAAAATATCTATATTTTTAACATTACTGAGATACACAGATCCTGTTTCGTGAACCTATCCCCTTGTGCGACGCTAATAAACACTTTCTCACCGAGAGGGAGACTTTAATTTTGGACGTTTAACATAAATTAGCTCTTTTCCACATAACGGGTCATTTGTGGCATGAGGTATCGAACCCACAACACCACCACGAGTTCGCGAACATGAACCTTCGGTTGTCACATGATCTCCCTCATTATCGATTTTTATACTTATACAAAGCTAAATTCCACGAAAATCCTTTTGTGTGTGTGTGGGGGGGGGGAGTCCTCTCAATGATTGGATTTCCCACAATCATTCCTTCCATGTCTCAAAGAAACTATGCTATTAGTAGAATCCATTTAACGAAATTCCTTGTATGAAGAAAAACAAATTACGAATTCCTTTCTGTTGAAGAACTCTTTTAAAGAAGACAGATCGCTTTCGAAAACCAGTTGGAAACTGTTTGGGGGTCTCGTTTTCTGCTAACTTAATTTCGAACTCTTTCGCACTGAACGAAGTCGTCTGCAGTGCGACTCCGCAACACATTTTTGGAAAAAAGAAGTGGAACGAAACAAAGATTAATGCTTCCACTATCGACCGAAACAACGTATTTCGTTCTCATGCCCTTTTTATATGTCTATGCGCTGACAATATCTATAAATATCTTTAAAATATAGGCGAACAGAGATATTCTTAGATTATTTATCTAACAGTTAAAATCAATCAAAATGTAATTAGTATTACTTGCTTCGATAAAATAATAACTTTCCGACAAAAAAAAATTTTTTTTGCAATTATTTAAAAGATATTATTGTTTATTTATAACAGAAATATTATTCGGAACAATTAATTTAAAATAATTTCATGACATTTTATGCCAAACAGTGATTTTATATGAAACTTATTCTTACTATCAAAATCCCGTTGGTGTGGTGTGGTAGTTAGGAGAGGGGGTGCCAGCTCAGATGTCGTCCTCGTCACCTGACCATGGTTCAGAATTACGAGGTCCGTCGCCAAAAGCCCTCGTGTAGCTGAACAGTGCGACGTTAATATTCACTCACTCACTTGCTCTCAAAATATAAGAATAAGTTAGATTCACAAAGAAAGCATAAGCATAGATTCATTAAATAATAATACATTTAAGATTCTATCTCATCTCTGATTACAAGGAAACAGAAGTATACATTAGTATTAGAAAATAGTTATAAAAAATTATGACGAGAAGTCATACAGAAAAGAAAGTGATTAATCTCAAAAACGGTTTTTTGAAAACATTGTGTGAAGAATGTGAATAGAAAAATTAAAATTTATGTGCTAATTTTATAATTACGATCAAAGAAGAGAGGGCGAGAGAGTTATATTTACGGTACACTATACAGCTGCACGAGGGCTATTGACCTCGTAACTTTGAACCATGGTCAAATTCCGAGGACAACATCTGAGCTGGCACCCTGCTCTCCTAACTTCCACACCACGGGAGGTCATTTGAGCCTCAATATATTTAAAGTGCATCGTCCTCCTCTGCACGGCAGGTCTTCAGCGGTACCAGTCTGGAACTCATGACAAGCTTGCCACGAATCTGATACCTTGACCACTAGGCTACCACGGCCATCCAAAGAAGAGAGAAAAACAGAAACTCGTATAAGTTAAATTTTTCTATATTCCATACATAGAAATGAAAAAAAGTTTAAGAAATCGTAAGCAAACTATCTAAAGTCGCAATCCGAATCTGTTGAAATTATACGGCGTCGCATTTAAGCGTATTGAATTAAATGTAATAAAAATACTTTGCATTAATGCAGTTGTAGTTTTAGTCTTTGTATACGTGTATAGTAACAAAAACAACTTTATCCTTAAGATAGCTATACATTATACAGATAAAATACTACATGAATATTAAAATATTAATGAGGAAAAGTGTGAATTAATTACAGAAGAATAGTCATTATCAGAGAAAAATCCCTTCACAACGACTATATAACTAATTAACATCCTATCTTTTTGCAAAATAATACTTTCAATGTTTCGTTGAAAAAATTACAAAAACTTAGAAATTCTTATTGGTAAAGAAATGAAGTACTAATGTTTTTAAGTAAGTTATTTTAAATCTTTTAAAAACCAAGTTAAATCATTTTATTAATCCAAAATATGATCTTGTAAAAACTTTTTCACTGCCTTAATTGAAAACTAAACAGTGGTATTTATAAATTTTCAAATTACCCGGAAAACTTAGATGTTCTAATCTGAGTTGAACTTGATTTTAGCATGATGACTAAAGCTAAAAAATGTTGAAAAATATTCAACTCACAAGTAAATAAAAAAACCCAGCAAACTACAGCTAAGTCCAAACAGTGATTACAACCGATGCATCAACTACAGATGATGAGTCGCCTCAAGCGAGGAGCTTAAGATGAGTTTTTTTCCTCGCGTGGGAGAAAGTTTTTACCCTTAATGATGATAACCCCAGAATGTTTGGTGGTACAGATAACTCTCGCTTTCATCTAAGCTTCAAAAAGAAGGGAAGCATTCCAAAATATATTCATTTTATCCAGCATAAAGTATTTCTTTCATTTTCAGTCCTTCTAGGAATGCTCTGTTTCTTGAACATAATTTTCCTCCTAATAATTTTCGGCACCAATTTTAAACAGGTTTTGGAAATGATAGTGATTTAGGCCTATTTTTGTGTGAACAGCTTGATCTATTCACTAATTATACACCTCTTGAAAATTTCATTTTATATAAACAATAACCCCCCCCCCCCAGTGATTAGCTTTTAATACACACACCAACAAACTTTTTCTCCATAATTAATAATATCTCAAATATTAAATTAAAATAATTATAATTATACGAAGCCCAGTGGCTGAGTGATAGTGTATCGCGCTTCCAAGTCACAAGTCCGGCGTTCAAATCCCGGGCTGGGCAAGGTCAACTCAGCCTTTCATCCCTTCAGTGAGTCGATAAATGAGAATCAAGCTTGCTTGGGAACTGAACACTGGGGGGTTCACGTTGTGGTGATCTGTAGCCACCCCTTACATTAATACCTTCCTGTCTGTCTGAAAACCCGGCTAGATGTATAGGCGGACTTAAATTATCTAAAGACATTATTCCAATTTAAACTGATTTATTGATTCTTATCAGATATTATGAACAGACACAACACAATTCTAATTAAGATATATAAACTAAGGTAGAGAGTGCACAGAGGTGAGATATAACTACGCGTGGATCTAGGACAGCTTAAACGCGCACAATTACAACTACGCCTCATACTAATAATCAAATTTACTTAATCAAAGTCACTATACCTTATATTTTACTGCTGCGGTTCCTTCGTGACGAACTTCAGGCACTAGCAATCGTTGGATGAGTTGCGATGATTCCACGTTCCGTAATATATTTAATTACAATTCTTTTTAATTTTCACTATCCACTCCTCTTTGCGTACATCAACGTATCCCTCACTTAACTCGTCAAAAACTACGTGTCGAAAGTTCGCTCTCTTTACTTTACTTTACTTTACTTTAAATCACCTCACTTGACTTCTCACTTCCTCTTACTTAGCTCCCTTCAATTCGCGAAAACCGAATTTATATAACATTTTTCATTTACATAAATCACGTTTGGTTTCCCTATGAAGGTTGATTGAAATAAATATTTTGATTGAAAGGGAAAAAGAAGATATTAAGGAAAATCCGTATAGATCCGTCACAACGTCAGACTGAAAACTTGACCGAAGCACATGCACATAAGCGCCTAAGGTCACGTAAACTGAGATAGGCACAGAAGATATTGGCCCTCATGGGCTGTTGCGTAACTGAGTTTAGTTCACATGCAATAATTATGCAAGAAGACATTCATTTCCAGCACATATTATCAGTGATCATTGAATTGCTAAAAACAATAGTATAGAAATTTGTAGAAAAAAAGCACCCAAAACTATCTTCCCCTCAAAGATAATCGATTAGAAAACTAGTAATTTCCAATACAGGAGAATGTAAGTTTTTTTCTTAAGGTATTAGACTACCCTAAAATTGTGAATTTTGCCAAAAATTCACAAATTTTTTAATGATTTTATTTTATTGGCCATCTTATTAGCTTTTTAAAAATACCAAGTTTATTATTTTCCGTTCACTAGAACAAACACTATAAGTGTTTTAGTAAAAGCAGATGTCATTACTTTTTAAGGAAGATGTCATACTTTAAAACGAGTTTTACTCGAAATGTGTGTTTTTGAAAATACTCAAACGGGGCCAGCGATTGTTGATAAAGTTTTGAAAATAATTAACTGAAATTTTTTGTGTATATTCTGTATAATACACTCATGTCCATAAATTAAGGATAATTCAGAATCACACAAAAATTTAACTCTAAAAAAATTTTCACCTGTAGAATTATCACACACATCTTGAAGAAGAATATGCAAATTACAGGAAACCACCAGATGGCGCGATAGTACGTCACAATGACGAGAGTGTAAGAGAGGGGTATATAAGAAATGGTGGCAAAGAAGTAAAATTGTTCACAAGTGCTTTAAAAGCCTTTCAGTGCAATAACGGCATAGTTATGGCACAAAGGAAGCCTTTGGATGATTTTTTACGTGGTAGAATTATCGGACGACTGGAATGTGGACGCAACCAGCTGGAAGTATTCGAGGAACTTGGAATCGCCCAAAGTGTCATCTCCAGGCTTTGGCAACGATTCCAAGATGATGGTAATGTGAGTAGATGTTACAGCACAGGTCGTCCCCGAGTTACAACGCCGAATGAGGACCGGTATTTGGCAGTTACTGGCAAAAGATACAGACGGAGCACAGCATCAGACCTATCTCGTCAGCTCTCTTCAGCTACCGGTACGACAGTTTCAAGGCAGACCGTGTACAGACGCTTATGGCACATTGGTCTATATGCTCGTAGGCCTGTCAGATGTGTTCCCCTTACCGCAACTCACTGTCGCCTGCGATTAACCTGGAGTAGAGAGCATGCATTGTGGACGCCGCAACAGTGGTCTTGTGTGATGTTTTCCGACAAGTCCAGGTTTAGTTTCCAGTCTGATTCTCGCCGGACTTTCATATGGAGAGCGCCAGGTACCCATTACCACCAAGAGAACAACATTGAACGACACCGTTACGGTGGTGCAGGATGGCTCGTTTTGGGAGGAATTATTCTTGGTTCCAGAACTGACCTGCATGTTCAGAGTGTAACGATGACAGGTCACATTTATCGGAATGTCATTCTGGAACAACATGTACGTTTGTTTCGGGGCACCATGGTGCTGAATTTCTGTTTATGGATGACAACGCCCGTCCTCACCGTGCAAACATTGTAGACGAATGCCTTCAATCGGAGGATATCACCCTTATGGATTGGCCAGCATACTCACCGGACTTCAATCCAATAGAGCATGTGTGGGATATGCTTGGTCGACGAATTGCAGCCCGTCAACCCCCTCCCACCTGTCTACCGGAACTTCGGAGGTGCATTGCTTGATGAGTGGTGTAATATTCCCCAAGATTAGATTGATAATTTGATACTCAGCATGCGTAAGCGTTGTAAGGCCTGTATTGCATCGTCCGGGAGACATACTCCGTATTAACCCTCATACTAACCATGTTATATATATTTTTTTTTGTAAAAGGTTCTCTTTTGAAATTTGCTCCAGGGAGTAAAAATCGCAACTTTTATTAATTACGTCAAACATATAGCATCTTTTTTGCTCTTTACCTTTTGTTTAATAAATAGACTTTACAAATAAGTCAAATTTGTTTTGCTTCTGTCTCTTTCTTTGCCTGAACTTCATTATCCTTAATTTATAGACATGAGTGTAGTAGAAGTGTTTTAACCTTAAGATTTATCAATCACTGTTTTATTACAAAATTTACAGTCCCTTATGTGAATATAATCACTGTTTTTTTAAGCAATTTCATATAATAACTAAGATAAAGTGCTCCGGTTTTGTAAAAATTAAAATATCTCTTATCTTGAAGGTCTTTTCAAAAAGGAATAACATAACAACACATCAGAATTGAAAAATTGTTCATAAATTTTTGGTACAGGATGGGCCACGTTTATGTTATTTTTTGTAAATTTTTACCCATTTTTTCATATTTTAGTAATAATAATTTCTTTTTCTCTTCTTAAATTTAGCACATTTTTCTTAAAATGTACTAAGAAAATATAAAAACAACAAAAAAATCCCCATATCTCCATTTTTTTCAAAAAAAAGTTGTCGCAAGTGGTCGGATACCTCAAATAATTTTGACTATTTTCACTTAAGACTTTGCGAAATTAATCATGTGGCTGCGGTAGCTTAGGGTTATGGACACAAATTTGTGGCCAGCGAGTCGCAGGTACAAATCCTGGTGCCACTGATGATATGCTATTTAGAGGGTTCACTGCACGTTAAATATATCGAATCTCAAAGTTCTCCCTTTGTATAATAATATGGAGAGGGGTTTCAGCACAGATGCCGTTCTCGTCACTTGACCGAGGCTCAAAATCACGGGGTCCGTCGCATATAGTCCACGAGTTGATTTACAGTGCGAAGTTAATAAACAGTAAATCACCCGAAATTAATAATTATTATATTTCCGAAAGATTTTATAAAAGT